CAATTTTTATTTTTTATTTATGCTATTTGGAACTTGGAAAAGAAGAAAATTTAAGGTTTTCAAATTGCACTATATATGAATTTGAATTTTTTGTAGATGGAATAGGAATATATACAAACTTGGGGAAGAAGAATAAAAAATCATCGAATTTTCGTGCTTAAAGATTTGCATAATAAAAAAAGAGATTTTTCCCTTCCTATACCATATATGAAACCTTATTACCAAAAATGTGCATAGTTTCATATTTACCCGCCATGTTTACAATTATTCTACAAAATATATACCATTCATTAAATACCAATTATTAGGAGCTGATTCCTTCCAAATTAGGTGCGTACAAATCTGGAACTACATGTTCTTCCAGATATTCCTATTTAGGCGTGCTACAATTATGGAAGTAAATATTCTTCCAGATATTTTCCACCATTGACAACCATTAAAAAGCTTGAAAGCTTTGAATTCAAATTTTGGTTTTCAAAAATCATTATTTGTTTGGATTGGGTGTTGTTGAAAATAATCGGGAATATGGTTTGGAGTTTATATCTCAATTTTGAGGGGTTTTTGGTGAAGATTAGACTTGATTTTGACTGAATTTCAGATTGAAACTCGAAGAAGAAGAAGACATATTGCAGAAATTGTAGATAAATTGTAGATTATTTGTATTCTGATTGTAGATGCTTTATTTTTGTTTTCGCAAATAAAAAATGGCTAAAAATCTTCTGAAAAAACGCAATTACGTCAAAAATTACAATTATGCTACAATTGAATGAGAATTGGGATATAAAAATTCAATGTTTCCAGTTTGTAGATATTTTGTAGATAAATTGTAGATTATTTGTATTCTAAGATGCTTTGTTTTCTGTTTTCACAAATCAAAAACGACTAAAACTTCTACAAATCTTCTGCAAAAAACGCAATTATGTCGAAAATCCCAGTTAAATTACAATCGAATGAGAATTAGGATATTAAAATTCAATGTACCAAGTTTATAGATATTTTGTAGATGAATTGTAGATTATTTGTATTCTGATTGTAGATGCTTTGTTTTCTGTTTTCACAAATCAAAAACGACTAAAACTTCTACAAATCTTCTGCAAAAAACAATCTACAATTTATCTACAATTTCTGCAATATGTCTTCTTCTTCTTCTTCTTCTTCTTCTTCTTCTTCTTCTTCTTCTTCTTCTTCTTCTTCTTCTTCTTCTTCTTCTTCTTCTTCTTCTTCTTCTTCTAATTCAGCCAAAACCAAGTCTAAATCTTCACCAAAACCCTTCAAAATTGAGATATAAACTCCAAAATATATTCCCAATTATTTACAACAACTCCCAATCAAAACGAATAATGATTTTTGAAAACCCAAATTTGAATTTATTCGTATTCAGATCTCTTATCTCCGCAGCATATCTACCCCATGGCCTTCTCCTTAGGCCTAAGTATCTGCAATTGTTCTGTTGTTCCTCTGCATTTTGAGTACTACTTATATTGCTGCCATTCTTTCTTGGTTTTGTGCTCTTGTTATTTAAAGAAGTGGATGATTTGATGATATTCATATTCAAATTCATTAACGTGGGGGGTGGGTTTGGGAGAGAGAAACGTGGGAGGTGGGGATTTGGAGGAGTATACGGTGGCGTTAATTAAGGAGTGATATACGGTACATTAGTTGTACAGTTAAAACACATTATGGTATAGAATTGGTAATTAGGTATACTAAATGTAATTAAATCAAACCTTAAACATTGAGAGTAATATAGTTTCCTATTTATAAAGTTGTAACTGGGTTATTCTGCTGCAATGTATATAGCTGGACTGTATTTTTGTGTAATTCTCCCATTCTTATTCACTTAAAGTCTTTTATTACCCAAAAAAGCTATATTATTTACTTTGGAGAATTCAAGATATTTGGCCAAATCTGTAACTAAAATTATGCGGAAGCTATATTTTATGTAAAAGAAAACCCGAAGCAAAATTAATTTTTAAATTTTTACCATCTACAAAAATTTATATTTACTAAACTATCCCAACATATTGGAAAAAAAAAAACTTACGCATTATGGATCTCACATTCACGATCAAAGTATCATAAACATGCCCTTCTCTCTAATTTGTAATTTTAATTTTAGTTAATATGATATTTAGAACTTAATTAAAGCATCTCATAATAAATAATTCAAATTATTTATCCATTTTAAATAAATTTTTCACATTTGTATAAAAGTACTTCGGTGAGGATTGGTCAAACGCCAACGGCTTCTAAATGCTGACAAAAATGTTTCTCAAGTAATTTACAAATTGCTACTATTTAGAAGTATTTTTTTTGAAATTTCATCTAAATAAAAATATTTCTCAAAATAATCAGATTAATTTTACCAAATACTCTTTGTGTTCAATTAAATGGTCTCAACTCTCAAATAGTAATAGACAAGGAGATTATTTATGGTCATATATATAATAATCATAAAAATGGGAAAAAGAAAAAAATAGAAGAGTAGAGTAGTAGCCTTTCATCCCTCACCAACCCTCTACAGTTATCCCCACGATAATCATATAAAGCTAAAGAAAAACCACACATTACATCTACTTCATCCCTTTCTATATATATATATATATATATATATTTTTTTTTTTTTTTTTTTTTTTTTTTTTTTTTCTTCTTTTCTTTCTCTTTTCTCCACTTGTATATATCGATATACCTCTGTCACTTGACTTTTTCAAGCTGGCTGCTGAGTCCACACTTTCCATTTTTGTGCTCTACAAGTTGGTTGCTAATGGAGTTGGTGAGTCCTTCATTTTTCTTTAACAACTTCCTTTATTTTTGAATTTCCTTTAAAATTGGTCTTTCAAAAAAATGGAAAGAAAAGGGGAATAAAGAATTTGAAATTGGATTACCTTCCTTCAGTCACCTAACTTAGTTAGACTTGTACCAACCCACATTGCCTTTATACTTTTGGCGAGGAAAAAAAAAGAACATTTTTTTATGTTGAAATTCTCTTTTTGAGATTCTTGAATTGTTGGTGTTGAGTTATTTTTTCAGGTAGTGGATTCAGGGGTGAGGAAGATGGAGGGGGAGGCAATGAGGAGGAACCAAACACTAATTTGTGCACCAATCATGGCAGACACAGTGGATCAAATGTTGAATCTAATGCAAAAGGCTAAAATTAGTGGTGCTGATCTTGTGGAAGTTCGATTGGATAGCTTGAAAAGCTTTAATCCTCAATCAGATATCGATACTATTATCAAACAGTCCCCTTTGCCTACCCTTTTCACTTACAGGTTTTAATTCCAAATTTAAGCTCCAAAGTTTGTCTCTTTATTATCTTTTTACACTAGTGAATGTCATATCTGAATTGGGTTGCTAAAGTTTGTTCCTTTGTGTGTGTGCGTGCGTGTGTGTAGTTCTTTTTTGTTTGTGATAGCTGGAAGCTGAATAGTGATGATTAAGATTCTATCTTCTTCTCTTGATTTGCTTGGAAATCCAAAAATAACTAGGAGAATAAGCTTGAGCAATATTAATTTTAAGGATTCAGGACTTCTTACTGCAAGCTGAAACAGAAAAATTGAAAATGAGTGGGGGAGAGATATGTAGCATACAGTAGCAAACTTTTGATTTGATAAGGGAGGTATAGGCTAGTGGAGAAGGTTCTCCACCTCCAAGGCTCCAATCATGAGGTGGAGAGTTTGAGTCACCAAGGGGACAAGGAGGAAAAACCATTCTCGCCCCATTCCGAGGAGAGTTTCTTTTGGGGGGTTTGGGGGGGGCGGGGGTTTACCGTATCGAGAGAAAAGGACTCTGGAACTGAACAAGAGACTTACCTGATTATGCTCTGATCCTTAATGAAATGGCCTTAAGCATGACCTCTGCTTAGGTTGATAAGATTAGCCAAGTGTAGTCAGCTTTTGGCTGGAAGAAATGCTATAGCTTCAAAATTTTGTATTCATAAAGAAGTGTAATGCATCGGTTTAAAAGAGAAATTGACTGATATGTCGAATCTCCACCGAATCTCTAGCCAATTTTTACAATGAAGTTTTATAACATTCCATCCTCCAGTTTGTTTTGAAGCCTTTTTCTGTTCAAATTCATACTGAAAATGTATATTTTTTATCTGTTGCTATGGAAGGTTACATCCCTATTTGTTAAGATGCAATCTTTGCTCCCAGGGCTTTGGGCTAGTGGTAAGAGCACAATTCATGATGTGCAGGTTAGGTGCATGTCACGGGTTTGAACTCTGCCACAAACAAAAGCCTGGTATTTAAGTGGATAAGGGCTGGGGAGGGGGCTTAGTGTCTACTGAGCTTTGAACCGTGCGCCACGGGCCCTCGAGGATTTCTCGGTTATCCAAGAAAAAAAAAGATGCGATCTCTTTTCTTTCAATTAAAACTTGTCATCAGTTTGAATTGCAACAAATTAGAGCGCAGAACCAGCCCCCACTTGCAAGCTTTGCCTTAAAATTAGGATGAAAAATAATGAAAATACTTTCCCCTGGTTGATCCCTCTTCACTTTTGATTAGTGCACTGTATGTTCTTCAATTTGCAGCTATATTTTTGGTGTGAGGCAGGGGGTAAGTATTAGCAATGTAATATCTGACATATCCTGTAGATACACGCATAAGGAGCACTAAAATCTAGCTTAGACCATCCTAAAGGCAGAGGGGTATGGTTGCTTGCTACTTTATCTAATTTGTCCGTGCACTCGGGAAGACATTAATGGCACTAGGATCTTTTCTATGTAAGTTTTGACCAGTTGACTTTCTCATCACTGGCTTTTCCAGAACACCAATTGCATGAACTCAGAAAGATATTAATTTTTCTTTCTGGCTTAGTATAATTTAAATGAGCCATTTTCTTTATTTTTATTGATATTCTTGTTCGTCAACAACCTGTGCTTCTTCAGTTTTATGATGTATGTTTTCACATGGAAATTTGTGAACCACACTTCAATAACACAAACAGTATAAGCATGTGCTGCTTTTTGGTGTAATCACTATCAAACAGTTTCGACCTTACACTTCTATGTCTTCATGCAAGATATTCTGTGCTTGACTAGCTCTGAGTTCAAACTTATAATAGAATTTTTCGCAGCTGTTGCAAACAAGTGATAACAAATATTTGTTCTTTTACCATAAAGGGCAGTCAAACGCTCTAAGCTCTCGCTATATGTTGGGTCAGGGGAAGGGACATATAATTACAATTTATTTTTATAATTATAGCTCTACTTCCTGATTTATAGTTCTCCTCTTATTACATTTCAAATAATGTTTCTATTACTTCTAGACATTGAAAAGTGCATTCTAAAATTTTTCTATGTTGCCCACATTTCTAGGCCCACTTGGGAAGGGGGTCAGTATGCTGGTGATGAAGTGAGTCGACTGGATGCACTTCGAGTAGCAATGGAGTTGGGAGCTGATTACATTGATGTTGAGCTAAAGGTATTGATTCTAAAACAAAATGGCCCTTCCCACCTTATCCCAGAAAATAAAATAGAATATAAAATGATGGCCTGTCCCTGGGTAGCTGCTGCTAATTGTCCTCAAATGTGAGTTCAGTTAAAGCAGAAGAATAAGAATGCAAGGCCAATCAATCTGGTTACCTGAGTTCGTATCTCCAGAAACTTGGCTTAAATAGTAGAAAATTTAAAGCATCTTAATTGGTGTGCAGCTTTGTTTGAGACTTTGAATGTCTTTGTTGAAATGTGTGGCCTGTGATGCATCTTGCATGAAGGAACATTGATCAATTTTGCAAATTAAGGATCACTTCCTGTTGGTTATTATATATAAATGTTAAATATATGATATCTAAACCTTTGCTTAGCTTTAAGTTGACATTCTTTGTATTTTTAGTCTTCATTGCTTCTTCCTTTTTGCTTTAACGGACACTTGATCAATAAATAATAATTGCTGCTTTCCTTATGCTTTTTGTTTCTTTTTCTCCCACTCCTTTAGGCTATTGACGAGTTCAATACTGCTCTACATGGAAATAAATCAGCAAAATGCAAAGTTATTGTTTCTTCTCACAACTATGATAATACACCATCATCTGAGGAGCTCGGCAATCTAGTAGCAAGAATACAGGCATCTGGAGCTGACATTGTGAAGTTTGCAACAACTGCACTGGATATCATGGATGTTGCACGTGTATTCCAAATTACTGTACATTCTCAAGTAAGCGGCGTAAGTAGTATAGCAAGTTTTTCAAGCCATAACTTGCTTTCAAATTTGTTTGGTGATAAATCATGGTTTCTCCAGAGCTGGATTTGGTGCGTGATAATAATAGTTTGAATCTAGAAGCTGGCTACCTCTTGTAGATTTGTATTAGGCCATACACACCAATAAGTTAGGTATAGTTGGATAAACTTCTGACCGGGTTTACATTACTAACCTAGATATATGTTAAGGGCAATGAGAGGGACAAAGACATTGAGAATAGATTCCACAATCAACTGTCTTTCTTTCCCTCTCCCTCTCTCTCCCTGAAAAAGGTGGGGGTTTATGAAATGTCTTAATTATCTGATGATTTTTCCCATTGCAAGAAGAACTCAAAGGTAGATAGTGGAATCAATATTGTTGTATGTATCGATGCCTTTGAGACATTTTCTCAAGTGAATGACATCTGATATCACTTGTCAATTAAGGGGCCTTACGGTATGTCAAGTGATGAGGTTGTTTATATGTTGTTGGGCTGAAATAAGGTGATTTGTGGATGATGGGTTATAACATCGTTGGATTCTAGTGAAGGCTGAAGGATTTTATTTGGTGAGACCCAATAGGATGGACCGCTCTAGGGACTTAATATTGTGAGACTGACACTCGCAACCCTGCTATTGAATATAAAAATAATCCCTTCATTTGAAAAGAATTCTATTTAATTTACAAAATATTCCATTAATATATTTTTGGACCACGGAAGTTGGAAGTGGGGTATAAGAGGGGCGGATGACCATCGATTGTCGATGATGGTCCATTTTGCAAATTAGCCAGGCATAAAGGAAAGTTGACATGGAGGAAGGGGTCACTGGATGGGGCGCTAGGGGGTAGGCGTTTGGTGGACGAGAAAGGGTTAAAGGAAACATTTATTCATCGTGTGGAGCCTCT